TTGATGGAAATGCAACTCACTCTATTCAAATATATACAAGAAAAAATGAGGTAATTGTTAAGTGTTAGTGCTTGTTTAGGGCATCAAAAGATTTTTAAGAATAAAGTTCGTAAAAAATAATTTTTTTTTCTAGATAACGTATGGTTAAAACATAGAAAAAAAATTATGGGTTCATATTTAAAATTTTTTTAATTTGAAAATATGTAGTTGAAAATGAGTTTAGGAAAAAATGATTTTAATAATTTGTATTAAACATGGGCTTAACAAAAATTTGCTAAAAATTTATATACTTTTGAAAAGGTCAAACTTCAATTTTACGACATCTTATGGGACCTACACATTTTTGTAACTTTACAATCACAAACATAATTGACTTTTATGAAAATAAGCTAAAACTTATGTAAAATATTTGTCATGCAGACCTGAATTTTTAACTTACATAGCAACTAATTTCATATAGTTGTAAGTTGTCTTGTACAGGTTTCGATTGATTTTTATTCCCCCTTTTTTTTATGGGAAACAGCCAAGTCTCGACAATATTTTGAATGTATTGTTAAAAAGTAGAAAAATTATGGGTTCATAATTAAAATTGTTTTAATTTGAAAATAAGTTAGGGAAAAATTGATTTTAAGAATTTGATTAGGCTTAACAAAATTTTGCTAAAATTTTATGAGCTTTATAATGGATCAAATTTCAATTTTACCACACATCTTATGGGACCCAAAACATTTATTAACTTTTCAATCATAAACATCATTAACTTTTATCAAAATCAACTAAAACATATATAAACCCTTTGTCATGCAGCCTTGAATTTTAAACTTACATAGTAAACTGATTTCATATAGTTGTAAGTTGTTCTGAACAAGTTTCTATTGACTTTTATTCCTTTTTATGTTATGGGAAAAGTTCACAAAAATATCTTTCGAATTAAACTACCTCAAGTGTACAGTTCGTTAATAAGTAATAAAGTGAATTTTGAATCCAAGTATTTTCTCATTGAGATTGATTTAGTTCAATTTTAATTATAACGATCTTAACCGAAACAAGAATAATGAGCATGTATGTTTATGACAAAATTATAACTAAAATAAGCTACTTATGCAATTATGAGTAATTTTAACTAACTAAATGAAATTTATGCTAAATAAAATTTGGTGCGTTCTAATGAATGACAAATGCACAGTAATCCTTTTTAACCTTAATTTTATGCTTCTACATGATTACGCCCCAAAGAATAACCTAGTAATTGTAGCACAGTTTTGGGATGTCGATTTCACAATGAGATGGATGAATTGCTCAAAAGATTTAACACATTAGGGTTTTTGTGAATTGTATAGAAAGAATTTGTTTACTGATTGGAATGAAAATTAAATATCAAGGTTCGAATTAGTGAAGTATTGGAATTCCCACAATTGGTTTGGATCATTCACCATCAATAATTCACTCTTATAACTCAATTAGAGACGATAAACCTAACTCTCAAATCGGAAAACGTAACATTAAACACCAATTTAACTCAATAGTAATTCTAAAAATTAAATCTCCTAAAGCACATTCCCACTTTTATTTATTGAAATTAGATTCAAGATCGACCCTATACTTCAAGCATAAAGTGGTAAAGAATCACACCAATAAAGTAACTGATTGAAATTAAAACTCAAACAAATATTTCAATTGTTTGATAGAAAAAATATGATAGAATCTATGAAAATCTAATAAACATTAAGCAAATCTTAAAACATATTCATGAAAAAAGAAATCTAAACCCTAGAATTGTTTGGCAATGAAAAAACAAATTACACGAATTAAGAGATGCTGAAATCACAAAAATCAATTGAGTTCCTTCATAGTTTCATCAAAATCTTTAGTTCTCCATGGATATCTTGTGCAAAAACTAGAGAAAATATGTATGCAAATGTGTATTCTGCATTTTAGGACATTTTAGGGCTTAAATATCGTGAAAGAGAATTGTTTCCATAAGTGTTTGATTGAAATTAGGAAATCAGAATTCTCGCCTCAAAGTTGAACTATGTGACCGCATGGTTATTGGTGTTGTGGTTGTATGGAACAACAATTTTCAGCCAAATTTTTCTGTAACACTATGTGCGACCGCATGGTATAAAGCTGTGCAATGGCATGGTTATCATCATTTTTCTCCATCGGACATATTTCAGTATTTTGATAATAACTTTCTCTCTTAATATCCAATTGAGACAATTCAAAGTGCATTTGAAAGCTAACGCAAAGAGATACAATTTTACCAGAGGTAGTGCTTTTCCATTTCGAACGTTTACTAGGTCAAATATGGATCTCAATTTCCGCCTAAAAATCTGGAACATCCTTATGCGGTTGGAAATTGATTTGTGCACATATTATATTCATATTTCACTTTTTTGACTTTTAATTTCATCCAATTGACCCCTAATATTCTCAAATTATCATTCCATCCCCCGTCTTATCTTTGGATTATTTGTAATTTGGTCCTGAACTTTCAATTTCTTCCACTTTAGTCCTTTTTTGCTTGTTTCTTCCAATTTCCACCATTTTCATTCATTTGCAACCTAAACCAAAATATAAAGGTACTTAGACATTTAGGTTTCAATTTATCATACAAATGCAAATATAAATGGATGAAAAACCTTACAATCTACGTCGTTATCACACCCCCAACTTGTTTATTACTAACAATTTAATACAAAACAAGAGACTCAATGACTAGTTAATGTTGCAATTTAATTTGTTAAGTTTCAATTCAACTACATTTCATGCTCTTTTCAAACTCCACACTATAAGAAAGGTAAAATTGTTATGATCATCAGGATATCAAAAACACTTACAAAATATGTGAGTGTGTGTTAAGCCATGACTATCTTACTGCGACCCAAATACATGCAACATCAAGTATGTCCTAAAGGTTCAGCCCCATAACTCATGGGTATTAAAGTGTTTAGTGCGGGATTTTTGTCTATGGAGTTGAGAAAGATGTATACTCAGAATATGGAGACTCAAGTATTTATGGACAAGCAATAAACAAACATTGATTTTATGATAGACACACTATCAATTGAGAATTCATCAACTTCTTACCACAACCCTACTTGGGGATCAAAACAACCAATGCAGAAAGTTGTAAAGAGGATTAGATTGGGGTATATGAAAAGAAGGGCAAAAAGAATTCAAAGACTGTCAAGTATATAGCTAGGCATCTCATCAATCATTTCAATAGATAATGTCCTTTTCTCAATGCATTCCTAAACATTTCAATTCTTTTTAAAAATGAAAAAAAAAATCCTCTCTTTTTCTTTTCATTCTCTTTTATGTCTTATCGCTTTACTTGAGCATTTGTCAACTCCCATCACTTTCTTTGTTACTGTTCTTCTCAAATTAACATTTAATATGTACTGTACACTTGGAAGCATAAAGGTTAAAAAAGATGTTTATGGGCTATTTTGCAGTGTAAAGATGTATGGATAACATAGGCGTATGAAAAGAAATGGCTATATATATGTATTAGATCAAAGTGGTTACTAGAGGGTTATAATAATAATAAAAATGGCTTGAAAGGCTCAAATGAAATAATAAATTGATCGTCATCATTCCTAAGTCTAATCCACAATCTTACCATAGACCGTATAATGTTATTCTCAAAGAAGGTTCTAATTCAAAAAAATCAA